GAGGGAGGGGTGCTGGGGGGGGCTGACTGGGGAGAGGTGCCAGGAAGGGGGATGCCAGGGAAGGGGGGCTGCCTGGGAAGAGGTGCCGGGGGAGGGGTGCTGGGGGGGCTGACTGGGGGGAGGTGCCGGGGAGGGGGATGCCAGGGAAGGGGGGCTGCCAGGGAAGAGGTGCTGGGGGAGAGGTGCAGAGGGGACCACCTGGGGAAAGGTATCTGGGGGCCTCCTTTGATGAACTCTCTCACACAGAATGAGGGTGAGTGGAAGCCTTCGGAGAAATGGTGCAACCAGCTGTTCTCCAACGTGGTGCCCATGCTGCTGGGGAACGAGAATGAGGAGGCCGGAGGGCGTCAGCTCTTTGACTTGGACAGTTTCCTGTCAGACATCTCCGACACGCTCTTCACCATGACACAGCCCCCCTGCCCCCACCTGGCACTCCCGGAGGATGGTGAGTCCCTTCGACCATGTTCTCATCCAAGAGGCTACCCTGGGTGATCTGAGGAGCCCTGGGAGGGTCCTGTCCTAATTGCCATTAGCTTCTTACTGCTGCCTTACCACTGGGCCCTGGAGTGAGGAGCTCTGGTCCTGCCAGACCCAGTCTCTGGAGTGACCGCCCCAGTGCAGCACCTCCCAAAGCAGGGAGGTCATGTTAACGAGATGCCTTAGCCATCCCCCTGCCCCCAGCAGCCACTGAGCCGTGCATGCAGGAGCAAAGGAGCAAATGATCCAGAGGGAGGGAGCCAGTTCCAGGAGCAGTGGCCCAGTGCTGATAACAGCACTCACTTCTAGAGTGCCTTTCTGCCAGGAGACCCCGGGCAGTGTTCCCTCTAACGTTTTCCATTCTCGTGTGGAATAAATTTTGTTCTGTGCACCGATACACGTGAGGATGTGCACCACCAGTAGAAACACATGTGGCCAGTTTTGGACACCCTGCTAATCAGCTGGGCGGTATTTGAATCTCTCCTGGGTGGCTACCCACGCACTAACTTTACAGGCAACACTGCCTCAGAGCTCTGCTCAGTCACCACTGACGTGCAGCCCCCTCTTGGGTGGAACATGGCCGCTGTATACCGCTGTAAGCACACTGGAATAGCTGCCAGAGAATGCCATGCTTGGCTGAAAGTGGGTGCAGTGTAAAGCAGGTGATATGGAGTGGGATCAGGCTGACATGCTGATTGGTGGCTTCTTTGGTAGCCAGCTCCACCAGTGGCCAGTGCCATGGGCTTGTCTCAAGAAGTCAGCCAGGGTGTGAGGCAGGCATGTTCCCCAGCAGCGCAGTGAGAGCCCCAGTGGGGCACTGCTCCAGGGAGGGCGTCAAGCTGCCAGTTCTTTATGGTGGGGGACAGCGTCCCTACTGGGCCTGCAGGAGGCTGTGTGGCTAGCGCCTGGCACACTAGGTGGGTTCTCAGGAGCCCTAGGTGCTACTCCCGCCCCTACCGCTGGGTGAGGCAGCAGAGTCACGTCCCCTTGGGCTTTGGCTTCCCCATCTGTAAATGTGGATAATGGCACTGGCCTCCTTTGCACATGTGCTGAGACCCATGGCTGAAAGGTGCAGAATAAGAGCTGGAGTTAGTTCTTAGTATCTCCCCTGTCTGGCAAGTGCGGACCCATGCATGGCTGAGCCGCCCTGGCCTGGGCAGGGCGGGCTGCCCTCCCTCCTGTTCCAAGGGCCCGAACCTCTCGGCCCTCTCCTCCTGGAGAGCCTTTCACCACAATGCAGTGCCCCTCATGGGCTTCTGGCTCTTCCAGACTACAGGGAGAGGGGCCCCAGGATGGGAAATGCTCCCCCTCTCTGGTGCAGATGACAGAGGCTAAAGGCCATGGGAGTGACAGCTGAGGATCTGGGGGAGTGGGCTGCCCAGAATGAGGTGCGTTCTCAGCTGCCCCCTCCACTGGTGAGTGGCTGGTGGACTGGTTCTTCCCTTTTGCAGCTTACACAGGAAATGCTGACATGATCCAGCCAGGCCTGACCCCCCTGCAGCCAAATCTGGATGATTTTATGGAAATCTCAGGTAGGCGCCAGCCCTGGCGGAGGGATGTGTTTGTGTAAACTGGGTTTGTGCAGCGGGATTAGAGGTGTCGGTTAACCATGTACACGGTTATACACAAGCTCCCGGTACGTGGGGGGAGCCATCTCCCCCCCACTCCCCGTGGCGCAGGGCAGGTGGGAGCTGACTGCCACCCCACAAGTAACTGCTTAACTGTTCAGTGGTTACAGTTACTTAAACACATTTTAACATCTCTAGCGGGGGTGGGGACACAGGCCCCATCTCCCTGTGGCCTGGGAGAACTAAGCCATAGGGACTGGAGGTGAATGCAGAGCCAAATGGGGCTGTGGGGGGAAGCAGGGACGCACGCCATGGTGAAATGCGCTGATGGGTCTGTCGACTTTTCAGTACTGGGTCGTTGGAGGAGGGGTAGAACCTGAGCCCTTTGGCCGTGAGCTGACGGCCAGCTGGCCCTTAGCTAAGCAACAAAGCAGAGTTCATGCCCCCATGTCGCTGGGCTCCGTGCCTCAGGGTCACCGTATGAGGCGGTGCCCAGAGCTGGGCTGGGCGGCAGGTCAGGAGGCCAGGCCCTGGAAAACGGAATTTCTCCGAATGTAGCTCTCTTTACAGGAATGTGAAACCACGAGGGGGGTGGCTGCAGACAGAGGAAGGAAAACTCTCCCCACAAGAAAGAGGAAATCTCTAGGGGGCGAGCAGCTTTCCGCTGCACTGCCACAGCTGGGGGCGGGGAACGTGATGGAGCAGGAGCCTGGGGGGATGGGAGAGAGCCTTCAGAGGGGTCCCCGTGTCTCGTGGCCTGTGGAGCTCCACTGTCTGCCCCCACTCCTGGGCCATTGAAACAGCCTGTGTGTGGTTGCATGGAGCTGGGTCCCGGCCTTAGGAAATGGATCTTTCGGTCACCGTGCATGGCTCCCGGCCTGGCGAAAGGAGCCGCCCTGTGGCAGCTCCCCTAGGCAGCTGAGAGGGAAGGAGGCAGTATCCTGCTGGGCTCCCTGGGGTCAGATCCTGAGGTGATGTTTGGCCAGCGGAGAGCAGTGACTTAATGCACGCTGTTGCTCCATCCCTGGGCAGTGTCCCCTCCCAGCCTCCTCATGTGAGGGTTGCTCTGGTCATGGGTCACCTGTGCAAGGGAGGGAGAAGCAAGGGGAGCGTTGCAGCTCAGCCCTGCCCCAAAGGTAGGGACAGTGAAGCCAAACTGGGCTGCTGGGCTATGGGGCAATAGTGAATGGGGGGTGGGGCTGAGGTGCAAGGCTCCTTGGGACTGGGAGCCATGGAGTGCCTGTCCGGATGTGAGGTGGGAGCATGAGCATGTGGGGTTGGAGTGGAGTGGGAGGAGAGAGGCGGTGGGGGAGGCTAAGTGAGTGTGGGGGTGAGAATGTGCAAGGCAGGGGGGGGGAGCAGACTCAAACCAGGAAAGTTGGGCTAATGGCGCCCCTGCTGCAGAGACGTCTGCTCCCAGCACTCACCCCAGGCTGGAGCCAGATGCTGAATAGCGGAGGAGCCAGGAGAGATGCAGCTGAGCCTAGGCCCTTCAGCACTTTTGCAGGCCGTGGAGTAGCCTCACCCCACGGCTCCAGCATGGCTCCTTGCCACTGATGTGCCCAACCTGCAGTCTTGAGCTTCAGCTAGGGGTGGGTGGGAGGAAGCTCCAGGAAATGCCCAAGCTGTGAACATGGCGGGTGCCCAACCAGCACGACTGCTGAGCTCAGCAGTGGTTGGTAAGGAGCCTGTAGCTGATCACTTTGGATGCACCGTATCTTGCAAACCAGAACGGCTGTGTGTCCTGCCTTAGTGGGGTGGCCTGCGGTGGGGCCGCTGGGCGGCCTTTGTGGAGGCTGTTGGACTGGGCCTTCTGGAGCTCCCCACCAGTATCCACTTCCCATTTGCCTGCTTGGGAGGAAACAAGCAGCCTTGCATCATTTGGCTGCTGGATGATGCAAGGCTAGAGGCTGGCAGAAAGCTGGGGTTGGGCTGCTAGCCTGCAGGGGCAGTCCTGGGGCACCCTGGGGCCAGCCAGACACGGGGAAAGTGAGTACAGATTCTGCACTCTTACACCATTTCCTGCAGTCCACTTGCTGGAGATACAGGGTGCCCCCTCTGCCAGCACCCCCCAACACACCCTTTCAGCACCCTGGGGGAGAGAGGCCAGGACTGGAGCAGCTGGGAGCTCCCTAGGGCCAGTGCTCTGGTGCTAGGTCTGGTGGGAAACTTTCTGCTGAAATTGTGTTTCAATGGAAAATCAGATTTACAGCAAAATGCTCCTGAGAGCATCTGCTTTTCCTGGGCACCAGACACTGGCTAATTCCCTCACCAACATGTGCAATGTCTGTCTTGCCTGAATTTGTTTTGCTTCCATCTCCAGCCATTTGATCTCATTCCAACTTCGGCTGTTGGACTGGAGAGCTCCTAGCAGTGTCATTCCCCATATAAGTATCTAAAACCAGTGACTAGAGATTGAGCTCCTTGAGTCTATCACTAGAAGGCAGGTTTCCAGCCTTTTCATGGCTCTTCTCTGAACCCTCGCCAGACTGTCAGCAGCCTCTTGGAATAACAGAGCTCAGAACTGGGCACAGGATCCCACTACTGCCGAATGCAGATAAAATAAGGCGTCTCCAGCTCATGGCCTGAGGGCTGCCCGCGGCCTGAGCAGTTCCACAACCCGGGCCATGCACGGCTGCTGGCACACGAGTCCCGCCTTTTCATGGCTCTTCTCTGAACCCTCGCCAGACTGTCAGCAGCCTCTTGGAATAACAGAGCTCAGAACTGGGCACAGGATCCCACTACTGCCGAATGCAGATAAAATAAGGCGTCTCCAGCTCATGGCCTGAGGGCTGCCCGCGGCCTGAGCAGTTCCACAACCCGGGCCATGCACGGCTGCTGGCACACGAGTCCCCGTGGCCCTGGGGGTGTCCTTCCGTACCCCAAGCCCAGTCCCTGCTCCACCCATTGCAGCCCTCAAGTCCCCTCCCCTGAGGGACACAACCTTAGGCGTTACTGGGGGGTATGGCATGGGATGGCAGCCAGGGCTGGGCTCTCCCCACACTGGCAGTGGGAGCTGCGGGGAAGTGGAGCGATGCAGCAGCCTCTGCTCTGTTGCCATCTCCGAAGCCAGCCCGGTCCCTGCTGGAAGCAGAGCACCCCAGTCCCAGTGCGGGCTGGCTTGGGAGATGGAGGTGGAGCGGAGCAGGTCACTTCTCCATGGCTCCCACCCCCACTGTGGGTGCAGATCTCTGCTGCCAGCCCCAGGCAACCCAGGGCCCCACAGGCTATCCGGAGTGTGGGAGACCAGCCCGACCATAGGATGGTTGGGGCAGCCCCCGCAGGGCTCCCAAAGCACAGGGCCCCTGTGCTGAACTGCCCAGTGGCGGGTTTTTAATTGCCTTGGGACAGTAGGCAGGGCCAAGAAATGTGGGAGTGAAAGGAGTGTGCAAGCTAGCAAGAGGAGCTGAGAGACGTGTTGGGGGAGAAGCACAAAGACACCCCCGTTCCCCTGGAGCCCTGCCGAAGGGGAGGGACGATGCCTGCTGGCCCACTAGGAGGATTCGAGGACTGGCACTGGCCCTAAGGTAAACTGAGTTTGAGACCCCGTCTTAACACTTTTAGTCCCACTGGAAGCTCCTCTTCAGCACCATGACCCCACATCTTTCTCAGTCCCCTGTCCTGGCCAACATTCTGTGGCCTAGGCGTTTGGCTTTACATCAGGCCGTGTGCAGTTGCATATCGTTTGCTACACTCAGCTTACCCAGTGACCCAGAGCCCGTCCCCTCTGCCCTTGTGCTGCCTGCAGACATGGTCAGGGATGATTTGGTTTTCTTCCAAATCACTGATAAAGCCAAGGGCCTGCCCTGCAATTCCAGACCCCACTGGAAACACATCTGCTCAGTGAGGAGTCCCATGTACAGTTCCATTTGGAGCCTGTTTTTAACCCTTGTCATGTGAGACATATTCATTTTGCATATTCTGATTTTTGACTCAAAATGCTCTGCAGTACCAAGCCAAATGCATTACAGGAGCCTCCGAATATGACATCAGTTCTGTTACTTTTAGCAGCCAAACTTGCCATATCACCAGAAGATATCATCAGTGTGATGGGGGCTATTTTCCACATGCTCGTGTGGTTTGGCACTAATTATATCACCATTATTTAGTTGTATGTTCACCACTAGTCCCCAGCTCAGATAGTCCGTTATTTTGCCCAGGGCTGATGTCAGGCTGACAGGCTTGTAATGATCAATGCCATCCCATTCATCCTTTTGAAATAAAAGCCCAACATTAGCTTTCTTCCTGTCCTCTGGAACTTCCCCCCGGCTCCCAGAGTTACAGAAAACCAGCATCAATGTGCCAGAGAGTTTCTCAGCCCGCTTTTTAAAACCTCTTGGATGTGGCTCACATTCTCCAGTCCTGCTGATTTAGAAGTGTCTGATTTAGGTAGCCACTGTTTAACACACTCTTGAGTTTCTAGGGGAATGGAAAATATCTCCGCCGCCCCCTCCTCTTCCTCGTCAACTCTGGCATGATTGCACTGGCTGTTATTGCCCAAATAAGTATTAAGTATTTCTGGCTTTTCTGTCCTACCAAGAGGCAGAGGGGGTGCTGCTTGGGAGAGACAGCAAAAGCACCTGGTCCCTAGAGAATTGGAGCCTCATGCATAAGGCGCTCAATTTACAACTCTCATAAGGCACCATGCCACTAGTTTGCATCACAATATTTCAGTTTTTAGCCAAATATTTGGCTGAAAACTCTACTTTTCCCACAACTCTCCCCCTGTCCCATGCACATCCCCTATTTTCAAGTCACTCTGCTGGGAGCTCCCGACAGTCAGCGCTCCCGAACCATGGCCTTCCTCAGCCATGCTGTGCCGTGAGGGGCTGGGGCTCTGCAGGGCAGGCTGGGAATGTGAGGGTTCTTACTTCCAGCTGCTAACGTGTTGGAATGGAAGCGCATGCTGACTGTCCTGTTCTCCGGCGGACGGGATGTGACCAAAGGGCAGTGGTTGTGGGAAG